TGCTAACCAGTCATCAAATGGAGTCAGCAAATTCGAGTAATTCGACTCGCGTCATTATCCAAGGTGTGGCGACCGTCCAGCCTCGTGGCTGGGTGGTCCTCTGATTGCGAACCATCACGTGTGAACCATCCTTTGGGTGATGATTTTCAGAGACGAAAAATCAACAGGATTGTAACTTCAAAAAATTTCTAATTAATTTTAAACGAAGAATCGGAAACGATTAAAGCCGAAGGTAAATTACACGTTTCAAGTGAAATACAAAATTAACCTGGACGGTCGGCTCGAAAGCTTCCGAATGTTTCGAACGGTAGCCATCTGACGCGTTCGTATAGATACGGACAAGCGTTACTGATACGAAAAGGACCGGCCCCGTGAAAGGGTGAGACGGTTACCTGTCGTTAGAAAAAGTGACTAACAGAGCGAGGATTAGTCATCCGGAGTTCACCCCTAGGTGAAGCCGGCAATTTTCACAGATTAATCAGAGTCCGAATTAATTGCTTTCCGTTGCCCTGAAGCGCGGCTCGTTTCAACGTGATGGATACGTGGACATTTGTAAGGAAGATGGCGTGCACGTGTCGTCTCCAGTTCACTCGGCTTTCCCACACTTATAATCGAGCGTAAAATGATGCATCGGTGGAAACTGAAGGAGAATTTTTCCATTTCCTCTGACCCACGTTCCTCTGTGAATGTTTCTGCTTTCTGTCGTTTTAAAAAAACGACGTCGTTTCCGTAATGAGGTGTAATTTTAAAATTCATCCAGCGTTGGATCATTTTATCTAAAATAAATTTCAATTTTTCAATCAAGATGTCCCTTAGGCTTCAGAAATGATAACAAATTATCTGATTTCTCGCACAACTATCTGTGTTCGCAAAGAATCGCCAGGACTCAAATTCAGGCCGAAAGAATCTAGCGAATTTGAGCAAAAGGTCCGCACGGCAGCAGGTGAAATCTGCAGGCTCCGAGCGCGGACCATCTGTTGTGCACCCGCCTTAAGGACCGACCGAAGGGCCGGGTAACAGGTTGTTCGTACCTTCGCGGCCGAGATTGTTTTGTCCGTTCGCTCGAAGATCGTCCATGGTCTAATGAATCATTCCCCCGAGATATTGGAACCAAATTGACCCGTGTGCCTTTCAATCTCGCGTGTCTCTTCTTCGCTTTCAATGATTCGCCGCTTCGTCGATCGTCACAGGTGACAGGCGTATCGAGCTCGAATCCGATGAAACATTAATCGCGGAGCACACGATCCCCGCGTTATCAAGAATCACGCTTTCCGCTCGGAGAATCGGGCAGATACGCTCTCGCAGCTGGTTCCAAGCCGGAACCGACGATCTCCACTCGGCCGGCACAATGGGACACGTAGCAGCACGGAGTAAAGGGTTGCAAGAAGACGAGAGTCTTCCGGGAAGCGATGAAAGAGCCTCGATCCTCATTGGCGGTTGCGCTGAACACAGGGGACCAGTTTTGTGCCCCGGGTCAACCTGGCCTACGCGCTTTTTGCTCGCTCCTCTCGGATCGTCATTCAACTCGAAACGATAAGGTGGTTTTAAGAGCGGCAATTAGGAGATAAATGATACCGAACAATTTCTACGATTTTCTTCTTTTTATAAAAATTAATTCACTGTTTTAATGGAACCCGTACGAGTACAGCCCTGCCTTCAACATCATCAATAAATGCCGCCGCTCTTTCGGTATCGAAAGACACGTGTTGTTTACCGATCGATTAGATTAATGACCGCGTTACGCTTCCGCGGCTACTATGGAACATAAATCACGGAATACAAAGTCGCTAAAGGCGCCAGGAGCCGGAGACCGGCGTCGAAACAAACGAATATCGAAGCAGAAAACGCTCGTCGAACATTTCTACCCCGTTGCTCATCGTCGAGGTAATCGTTTAGAACGCTCCAAAAATGTCCAACAGAGATTTGAAACCCAAAGTCGTTGACCTGCGCTTCCTCGTCGAGGCAAAAGGGAATTTTCTTTCGAGGACAGGTCGACCACCACGACCCCGTTCCTTTTGTAAGGAGAAAAAGAAGTTCGTGGCTCCCTGTTCCCTAACCCAAACCCGCGACGCCGACGACCTTTTGTCACTGGCCAGCTTCGCGTTACGTTTATACGCTCGCTTTTCTTCCAGCGGGAAGACTCTTTGCACGCCATACTTCGAGCTCTACACACAACGTCGCGGAATAATGGAACCTCTTACTCGAGTATACACAGCAAGCAACAGGCGCACCTGTTCGATCGGACCAGTCGCCATAAAAGCCCAGGGGCCAAGGTAGCTTTTGCTTCCACACTTTCTTGCACGGTACACACGCGTGCGTACCGCGTGTACCAAGGGACGTGCTTGAAAGTAAACGAGCACCTGTCCAGGTGAACGAGAAGTTTCCTGTCGAATCGGGCCCGTCATCCGGCGGACACTCGAGGTGACCAGATTTCTGCGGAAGAAGCAGCATTGCTTGGTTTCGCACCGATCGATCGATAGGCATGGAACTTCCTTAACCCTTTCATTGCTAAACGCGAAAGACGTATATACATACGTTCATTAGATTTTTCTTAAATTGTGTTCCGACGAATTAACTCGTCACGTGTGATAGAAAAGCATTTTCTTCATCGTATAATAATTTCAATGTTAAAAAATGAAATTTTAGAAAATGATGATGGTTAAAGGGTTAATAATAAGCTGGTAATGTATTATATTCTTCTGAACACTAAAATTTCCATCTTTATGTCCACAGCAGAGAGCTTTGAATTTCATTTAATTTACACATTCAGAATATCAATTAACTTTCCATTAGAAATTCAAAGCGACCGTATCGATGTCATGTTTGAATCCTCCAAAAAGAATGAAGGATCCATATAACCTGTGAATATGTTTTACAACCAACACAGCTATAAAATGAAGCGTTAGACGATTAAATGAATTCGATTACTAACATACACACGATATTGACGCGTTGTCACACGGTGCTTAATGAATCCGAGATCAAAAGGTTCCGATGCCGGGTTGGTTTCCCCGAACAGGTTACAATATAGCGAAATTTTCGTGTGGCCGCGAAATGCTCGCGCGACCAACCACTTCCGCCCACCTTTGACTTTCACCGACGATTTTGGCGCCTGCTGGACGCCGTTCAAACGATTTCGTTTGGTATTTGAAAGAATTAGAAAGAATCTTCCCAATGGAATCGATCCGTTATCCAACGAATGAAAAAACACCTTGATTAATAATAATTGAATTCATAATCGAACTTTCTAACACGGGTCACGCTCGACCCAGTTGCTTTCTACTCCGATATTAAACGCGCGTTTAACGAGAAACTGAATCCAAATATTTAACGGAGCGACAGCAAGTGACGAGGGGAGAATCTGCGATTCGGAACACCCATATGGGCCTCGGGATTCGAACAAAAAGCCCGATCGAACGCTGGCTGTGTCGATTGAATCGCTAGTACGTGGCAAAAGCGCGTGGGATTTAATACGCGGCGCAGGTAGCCCATTGCTGGCCAATGAATTGAACACGCGTTTGCACGCCATATGTTGTTTGCCTCGCTAAAAGACCTTTGTGCCCGGCGTTCTGCTAACGCGGCTATGAATGAACGCGTGAATGAGCCTGCGGGAGAAACAAGGCGATGGCTCGTGCCGCGTGAAACCATTTGTTCGTACAGAAGATTATTAAATAATAATGTAATCTGTTAGAAAAAAATAAGGTGTAAATAATAATTGTATTCAGGATCTGGTCCTCCCAAAAATTGTGGATTCCTATTCTTACCATTTTAAGATTCTAAGAATCTAAGGTCGTAAAATTCCAAAATTCGAAGATCTAAATAGAAAAAAATTGTTTAACAAATTAATGCATCGAATCTGTTACCTTGGCAGAATCGGAGTACCGGAAGGTTTCCCGCTCGTGCTGGACATTTAAACGCGGCCGTGAGGTCGGCTGTCCGTCGGATCTCGACTCAAATCGAATCGAATCGATTCGTCTCGAAGCAGGGGCTGGCCACCAACAATTACTTTTGTCGAGCAGAGGGCCCCCGATGGTCCTCGACGAATAGCTACGATCGCTCAGATGGAGAGATAAAACAGCCAGCGAGTTCGTTGTTTGTCGAAAGACAAAGTGCATTATTATGCACGTCGACGAAAGTTATGCACGGTTCGTGCGATAACGAGGCAGTTCTGATATTTAAGGTGTCGGTTGATCGGATCTGTAATCTTCTGAATTTCGACACGTGCATTCTCCATTTCGTAGTGATTGATATTTTGTGAATTAATTTTTTTTTTTTTGAAACGAATATTATTAGATATTATTCTCAGTTTAATAATTTTGTATAAAAATAAAGAAGGTTTTGGGAAAGGTTCGAAGAATTATAGAAAACTGGTGTAAGGTTTAAAATCCAAGTAATTTATTTCGTATAAAATATCTCTATATATAGGTGATATCTGTATCTCAAATAGTAGTTTATTTTCTTTACAAAAACTAGAAAAAGTGGTACTCGCCCTGAGTCGTTTCGCCGTAACTCTCTCTCTCTCTCTCCTTAGACGGACACGTATAAAACTCGGGCGTGACGACTCTATTTAATTATTATATCTCTTTTTTTCGAGCTACCTCTCCGCGAGGAACGCGAAATAGACCAGTCGGAGGGGAGCCTCCTCGCGGCGAGTCTCTCGTATTTCTCCTCGCACGTTTATAGTTATTGTACAATGACTAGTTTGTTCGAGTAACTTACAGTGATTTACAAACGCAAAGAAAAAGTACAAAAACGCAAAAGGCAAAGGAAAAAAAATCAAATAATTAAGTTCTCTCGCTCTCATTCATTCAATTCCAAATTACCAAGATGAAGAAAAAAAAAAATATAAAATAAAATAAACCACTCAGGCACTGGACGATCTATTTAAATACTTTTCTCTCTCTGTACCTCCGTCCACCTATGGCGACTTATAATAATACTTTGTTTTTCGTACGTGCCTTGACAATTAATCGTTGTTATTTACAGTCGCATGTGGCACGATAATAAAAAAAAAAAAATGGCACTTTGGTGCACGGTACACACGAAAATGAAACACAATCGACGAAAGGATTACAGTTTGTCGCGTGTACGTAAAATGGCAAGGAATACAAGAGGAAGAAAACAAAAAAAAAAATAAGAGGGAAAGGAAAAAAAAACGAAAATGGCACGGCAGCTTCACGGGACCGCGTCAAGCGGTTAAATCGACTCGTCCTTTTTGCCTCTCCTCGAACATCTTCATCGAATCCTCGAAGGGCACGCATCGACTATCATATCCTTTAAGTACAGACGGAACGCGGTCATTCTCGCTGTTTGTCACACACACGCACACACACACACACACACACACCGAATTATGTACAACGGGACGAAGGGCGCGATTCGAACGCGAGAAAAATGCACAACCATCGGATGGGGGTTCGATTGATAAGGGTTCAGTTTTTCGACGCCGGTGTTCTATCAACGATCTCGTCTAAAATTCAATCACGAAACGGGTATGAATTTTAATCGAAAGCCAGGTACTCGAAACTACAACACTTCGCGGGAACTTGGCCGAGAAATTGAACCCTGTAACCGATCTCTTCTGGACCTACTTCTAGTACTATTATTATTCGTTTGTACTCCGATTAACGTAAGGCACTTCTTCTTCGAACCGTAACAAAGTAATAAGGAACGTATCAGGCGATCACACACGCGACGCGATCAAATCGTCGCGGACTTCTTCGAGTAGATCATCGGGCTCCTCAGCATGCGTAGCCGATGGGGACGGCGACTCCTGGACACCCTCCCTCCTGGTGTTTGGTCAGCAGAGACATCCTGCTGAAGGTTTTGCTGCACGAGGTGCACGAATACTTCTTCACGTCACTGTGGGTCTGGAGATGTGCCCTTAGATTACTCCTATCAGCAAAAGCTCGATTGCAGTGCTGACAGCTGAAGGGTTTCTCCCCGGTGTGGGTCCTGATGTGTCCCTGGAGCAGCCAGGGCCTCGAGAACGCTTTGCCGCAAAGATGGCACTTGCAGGGCAGCGTATGCGTCCTGATGTGCATCTTGAGGGCACCTAGGCTGACGTAAACCTTCTCGCAGTACTTGCAGGAGAAGGATTTTTTCGCCTGGCCCTCGGCCGCGGCGCAATGGAACTGTTGATGTTTCGACAGTCCGGAGTACGTCGAGTATGATTTTCCACAGTCCGGGCACTGGTACCTTGGCGACGTCGACGACGACGAGGATGACGAGGAGGAAGTTGAAGACAAAGATACGGTGGAACCACTGTTCACTCCGGTCTTCTCGATTTTCGGGTTCACGATCGTTGAGCCCACCGAGGTGCTACCAGCGGACGATCTTCCGCTGTCGCTTCCAGGAGAAGAGAGATCCTCCGGCGTGACTGGAGGAGGCGACCTCAGCGAGCCAGAGCCCAAGGAACTCGTCGGTGATAGTCCGCAGTGGTCGGGACTGGCCCAGTGCGAGTAACTCCTGGCGATGGGTCTCTGAATCGTTGGACAAGTGAGCGCACTGTGGGGCGGAGGCGAGACTGACGGATGATGCTCCGGGGATGAGTGCGGATACGCTGGCATCGGGTAGGACGGATACAACTCTGCTCCCGCGTGGTGATAACGGTGATAAGCCGCTGGATAGGGCAGATAGTGAGGAGGATAGAGCGGCGCAGCTCGCGCCCACGCCGGGGTCGCGTAGTGCGCCAATGGCTCGACGGGAGTGTTGAGATTCAACGGTTCCAAAGGTGCTTTGCTAGCCATGAAGTGCAAGGGCGCCGACGTGGCCGTCACGGCGGTCGTCGACGAGGAGTTGTCGTGCTGGATCACCTCGACGCGAGCCTTCTTCGCCACTGGATGAATCGGCGCGATACCCGCCGGCGGCGTGATCGCCTTCGTTGGGTAATGATGATGATGAACGTGGTGCACCGGGTGGACGTGATGATGCACCAGCGGGGAAGTCGATCTGGGTGCCAACGGTGGAGACGGAGAGACTTTGACGATGGGTGAAGGAGACCTGGATGCACGCTCCGGCTCCTGTTGCTGTTGATGGTGATGGCGTTCCGCGGTTCTACTGAGATCTTCGGGTTTTGTACTGAGATTCTCGGGCTCGGGAATATCGTCCATCACGACGTCGATTATTTCCTCTGAAGAAGAGAAAAAGAAATTTCGTTTTATACGAGAGTTCCTCGACTGATGAGAAATTGGATAACGAAAAGGGATTCGGAGATTGGAATGTTATTGATTGGGAAAATTAATTGAAATATTCGAAACTCACCTTTAATCACTTCGGGAACTTCCTCGGTAGGCAAGACGTGGACTGGCCGCTTTTTCAGCGGACAGTGACTGTAGCTGTTGTTTTTCTTAACGAAACTTCTCGGCACTTCTTCGACCAGCATCTTAGCGATTTTTCCTTGACAATTTCACAGTTGGAAAGATCCGAGTCGGCTCTTCGCAGGTACTGGACACCGCGAAGGCGCAACACCGCGATTTTAATCCAATTGTTCTCGTGTTCACACTGACCACAATATTCAGTTCCCTCGTGCGCGAGGAACAACAAAACTGTCAAGATAATCCTAAGGGATGTTGTCACTGCACTGCGTCACACATGTGGACGAACAAAATAGTCCTCCTCGTTCACTTTCTCGTCGTTTTACGAGCACTCGGAAAAAAAAATCCTTCGATGAAGAAAAAAATTGTCTCGATCCTCACTGTGCGCTCGTCGAGACTGAACTGAACCGACTGTCCGACCGGCACCAGGGTTAAACGAGCAACAGTAGAAGAGGAAGAGGAAAGAAACAGAGGACTGGCGGGTGAACGCGAAAATGTTTGAAGGAAGGTACGATACTCTGATACGACTCTGACAACTGTTCGGCTGCAGGCCGGTCTCTGACTGGCAGGGGGGTGCGCCAAGTCCTTTTATAACAGCTCACCCCACCGGCCAGGTGCAGGTGGCCCGCACGTGCTGCCCGACCAATGCAGGCCCGTGGGCCCCGCGCTGCCCGCCAATAGGGGACGCCCGGTCACGGGCCATCGTCCAATGAGAACGCAGGCATCTGTTCCGCCGGCTCGCGTGTCCCCACCACTCTCGTATGCAACAACAGGAGGTGCAGGATGTTGTTCGTGAGTGCGACGCGATTGTCCTGTTGCGCTCCGTTCCTGCGCTACCTTCTCTCTCCCTCTCTCCTTTTCTTTCCCCTTTTTTCGCCTCTTTCCCCTTTTTCGAACATTCTCTCCTTCTCTCTTGAACGATCTCACTTGTTTTCCTCCTTCTCTGTTCCCGCGCTGTTACATCGTGCGTTGCGTTGTTGTACGGAGCAGATGCTGGGCCCCTACGTAGAGTTCACCCTCCTCCTTCCTCCTGGTTCGCGTTGCCACCCCTCACTGTTCGAGACCTGGCCCAACGACCCGTCACCTCTGCGCTGTCGTCGGTGCACATACACCGCCGATTCGAGCGCGAACACGTTTCCGTCTCTGTTCCGCCTGCACATACACTCCGATGCCACGTTTCCCCTCTTGCCATCGCAATTATTCTATTCGAATTTCCGTTCGGTCTACCTGAATCTTCTCTCTTCCTCTCTCCTTCTCTCCCTCCCTCGTTTCTAGCCTGTTCCTTACTCGCGCGCGCGAGTACACGCTCTCGAGTGTCGCATTGGCTGCTGCACCGTTTTTTCTACACGTCCAGCCGCCTTTTCACGTGCCCACCGACGAGTAAGAGCGCATTCGTGTGCGAGCTGCAATCCGCCCGGTTCCCCTTCTGAATTTCACCCCTCGTTCCTTTCTCGCCTGCCCCTCTTTCCGTCGAACCCCCGCCTTGCCCCGCCGGCCTACGGTTTCGAACGTAACGGTCGTGTCGCGTGCCACAGCATCGCCCACGCGTGCTGGAACCCACACACGCACGTGCGTAAGAAGACGAGGGAGACTGCGATTGTGTGCGCGTACACCCCTCCCCCCCTAGAACAGCAGGATTCACGAACTTTGGCCGGCATTTTTGCCGGAAGAGGGGGCGAGCAACACGGAGATGCATGCCCCGTTAATGATCCCGCCACGTGACCTCTCGCTGGAGAGATCGGCCAGCCGATAGCGGTTTTCTGATTTCTCGTAAATGGAGCGGAGAAACGCCGTGAAATGATGTTACTCTGAAGGTGACGTTAATTAGCCAATTTATAGAACTCTTTATCTTCTTTCGCTTTACACGATATTCTTCGACCACGCATTGAAGTCTCCGGTCAATTGCACCCGAGCAATCAATCTCACCCTCGGTAGAATTACCCGCCCATGTCCGAAGGGTCTTTATTGTCTACCGATCGTCGATGACCCGTCGTAAAAGGTAAATCAACGTACTAGCCGCGATCGTGAAATTATTTCGTTCGAAATGTACAGTGTACACTCGGTCGAAGAGAAACGCTATGATCTACGACACGTGGATTAGTCGTTGAATTTACGAGACAAAGGAACACTCGAGCATTCCGCTCGATCGATTTTCCGTTTCGTTCGACGATGTGTCACCGGCGCTAAATCAGGTTATCACAGCTCGACGGGATCGTTCGAATCGACCGATTGAGAAACGATAAGAACGCGGCCCGAGACCGGTATCAGGATTTTTGACGAAGGACCCTTGTACTTGCCGTCGTAAACAGCTCGTTCGCGTAACGCTTTATTCTTCGGGTTAGTTACCTGCCTGCACGCCAGCCGATCGTTCCTACGAATTGTTTCGTAATAAAGGAGACACGGAGGCACCGTTTCTCAGCTTGATTTTTTTAATTGAATCGATCTTATGATAATTCAAAAAACTAATGTCGTTTAGCTTTCGAGGCGCATCTTTCTGCAGATGCAGATTCAGCGGGAAATGTAACACCGAGTACGAGCGATGATTCAAGGGAATCTGAGGAGAGTGAGAAACGGTGTTTACGAGTTTATTTTTTTCCATTTCATGATTGTATTATATTTCAGACCGTCTGTAAAGAGTCAGGAACTTTAGTTTCTCTTTTGCTTAGCACTTTCACTTTTTATGATCTATATTTTTATACCGTCTTCTTTTAATACGATCATAAATCAGACGGGCTTGGAAGCGGGGAGGAAGGTAAAATTTTCGATGGACAGTTTCGTTGACGTTTATACAGGATGTGTTACTCGAAATCGCCTTCAGTCGGCGTATTCGAGGCGCGTTATAAATTTATCCAATCGTTAAGAGCGACAGAGAGTTCGATTCGCGTGGCGATAAACGGCGAACTCCTCGAGGAGAAGTCGCCGCGGCAAGGGGACAATTTGAATCACCCTGTCGCTCTTGTACCATGGAAACCGAGTTGCTCCATTTTCTCGCTTATCTCGTCGACACCCACGAACCGGAGTACAACGGTGTCCCTACACGCGAGGCGTCTTACACCAACATCCACGATGCCTTCCTAAAGGGTGGGTTCGATCGATTATGTGCATAGCCTATAAAAAAAAGCCGAAGAACTTATGCTTTTCTATTCGACTTCGTTCCGATTTGTCGGTTCCTTCGCGTTCCCATGGCGCTCGTGATTTATGCTCCGCTAACTCATTGACTTTCAATCTACCGACGCGAAGTTTGCCCAAACGCTTATGCGAATTCGCGAGCGTGCAATGGAAAGGAAACGATGGCTATGGAGAAACAGAAGGAAATCGCGAAACCCGATACCCAGTTAGATATCGATTACATATTGATGATATTCAAACAATTCGATAGCAAAGTACCGAATAGGGGAGTAGGAAACAATGACGACATCAATAAAATCATTCAACGTTTCGCCCGTTATCTCCTGGTCTTAGAAATTTCCATCTAAATATCCTAATAATTAAGTTTCCGCCGAGACTTGTACCTTTCTTACACCGAGGTCCCTTCAACTATCCCTATGGACTCTCTTCGTATACCTGCTACTCGGGTTGGCCCATATTTTATTAAAGCCGCAATCCTATTCCATCGGCTAAATATGCGCACGGAAGGGTGCACCGATATACAGCCGGTCCGCGCTATGATTCCTCGTAATCCACCGGCAGAGAACGAAAACCTACGGTTACACGATCTCCTTTTTACTATGCGACCCGCAACACACATTCACCCGATGAATCGTGCACCGGTCGTCGGCGAAAATAATCTACCTGCCTAGAGGAGTGCGCTTTTGAACGCTACGTTAGACCGGCTATCTGTCTCCGAACGAACAAGCCTAACCCTTTTTTTCCGCTCGATTTTCGCGGCACGACGAACGAAGAAAAAGAATCGAGACAGGGAAAGAAGAAGCACCGGTAGGAAGACCTGCATCGAGGGGGCCGGTTATTCCGGTAGTTTACCGGTGGTTCCGGTGCCGTTTCGCTTCGTCGTTGCCGAGCCAGAGGTGTTCAAGAAAAACGATGGTAAATTATATCAAATACTGGCCGCGTTAACTCGCCTCGTTCTTTGTTTGTCAGGGACGCCGGTTCGTGCGAAACCAAGGGGAACGCGTACGAAAGAATCCGGTGGTGGAATCGTTGCTCGCAGGTTGCTCGAAAAATCGAAATTTTTACTCGAACGATCAGAACAGGTCCTATCCTTGATTCACCCTGGTATTGGTGTACGTGTACCTTCTCAACATTATTTAATGCGTTGTTTTTCTTTCCCTTTTGTACGAAATAAGCTCGAGGAAACGTGTTTCAGTTCGCAGGGACGATTTAGGGTGGTTTTCGATTGAGCATTGTTCCGTTTTTATTTGTTTCCCTTTGGGCAACGAATTATTCCCATCGTTTGTAAATGGAATAACAAGAATTATAATATAATCTAAAGAACAACGTCGATACCGACACACCTTTTACGAATAATTTCAACCCTACACTTTCAAAATCAATCCCCCAATTAATAGATCAACGAAATCGTCCGTGTTAGAAATCCGTCCACGCAAACCGCGTTTACCATTAATTTCAACATATTTTCCCCTCGGGAACAGTAAATTACACGGCAAGGCGGAGGTAACGAAAGGTGTGACCGGTCGAACCCTACAATATCATCGTAAACGCGTTACGCGTTCAATCCGAAACTCTTAACCAGTCCACGTCTACACGTACACGTTCTACCGGTCGTGATTTTGCCCGGTCGAATAAATCTGTATAATTATTACGGTGTGTACGTGTGTAACGGGTGGCCCCCCACCCCGTTGCCCGTGGAAGGTAGCCCCATCGGAAGGAAGCTGGTTTATTTTTTTGTTGTGCCGCCTCGAGGAACGAGGGGCGCCCCATAGCCTCACCTTTGAAACACCTGGCTATTACCGCTCGATGTTTTATATATATAACGTTGCACATGTGTGCGCGCCACCATATGCGACTGGCCCCACCGGGACTAGCTACGAGGACCCATTTTCGGTACCTCCATGGACATGTGCATGGTATCCTGGATACGGGGGGATGGGCTCTGTTTCGTCTTTTCTAGTGACATCGAACTGGATGAATATTTGAATCTAGTGACTTTGTGCTGATGATATTTTATTTTATAAAATGGTCACTGGAGATTTAAAAAATTCTTAGGGCCTAATTTATTTTAAATTCAACGTTATTAATCTTCCGGTAAAAATTTAAGCCCCTGTTGCAATTATTGCATTCAGTATTCTAGTCACATTTGTGCATCGTTAAGCAAGCAAGTCGAAACGCGTTCGGACCCATCACGATTCAAGGCCCCTTTATCTTAATCTAAACCGAGTAATCGGTAGTTTTACAAGCGAATCAATATTGACTTTACCCGTCGCTGGCGAATGTTTGATGACAGTGCCGCAGATCTTTCGGATGAGTCAGAAAACGGTGAATTGCTTCGTCGATGACCTTTGTCATCGCGCGATAACGTCGTGACTATTCGCCAGTTTTCTCCGTCAGTAGTCGTACAAAAAGTTCACTGG